ACTGAACGATACAAGCAGGGGCGTACCTAGAGCATTTGGCACCCGGGGCGGATCCTGTGCCCTTTCCCCACCCCTCCCCAAAAAACCTGTAAAAATGTTAAAGGTTTTATTTCTTTTATTTTTACAATTTGTAAACTTTGCAAAACGCTGTCAGCCCCTCCTACAAAACCCTTGTCCTGCTCTGCCCCTCCTACAAAACCTCTGTCCTGCCCCTTCTACAAATCCTGTACTGCCCCATCTACAAAACCCCCGCAACCACCTTCCACAAATCCCCTGCTTATCCCCCCTTATAAAGACTCCTGTCCCAATACAAAACCCCCACCCCCTTCTACAAAATCCATGCAGCCCCACACACACATTTACAGGCAGACAGTCACACACTCAGTTACAGACAGACAGTCACACACATACACGTACATTTCACACTCCGTGCTGACCAGTTTATCAGCTGTTTGCTTGAGGTAGGCTGTACTGGCATACCGGCCTGCTTACCATGGGACACTGTGCGGCCACAGCTCCACCACAAGCCCCCTCAGCCAGGGCGGTACAAGGGATTTTTTTTGCCGCCCTAGGCAAAGCCAGGATTTGCAGCCCCAATAGCTGACATCACAATGCCCCAACCATATGATTTGCCATGTTAACTAGCAGCCGGTGCTGCGGCGGTGCGCGTGTTTTACATTAAAAGGCCTGGGGACGGAGCTATAGGTACCAGAGGAACCACTATATTAAGCTGAGAGTGGTTCACCAGGGACTATAGTGTTTCTTTAATGTGAGGTAAGTGGAAAGCAGATTACCACGAATAATATACTAGATTGCCTACCCACAACCAGATTAAGGGGATGATGATGGGCTCTAGCTGCAGTCTGGCTCCACTGGTCTGAGGGTGCAGGTATATGGCTCTCTGGAGGCGGTTTGTAACTGTGGTCACAAAAATCAATGTTCTGGGAGAACTGGAAGCAGCTCCATTTTTTGGGGGTCCTTTACACAGATCAAGGTCTGGGTCCCAGGGTCCACCTTCATGTTCCACCAATGAGTTTGTTCACGGGGGTGGAGTGTGTAAGGGATGTCCTGATATGTGTGTAAGGAATGCATTGTGTGAAATTGTGTTTGTATGTGTAAGGGCTGCAGGGTGTGTTTCTGTGTATGTATGGGATGCATTGAATGTGTGTAAGGGGTGCATTGAGTGTGTGTAATGAATGCATTGTGTGTTTCTGTGTGTGTAAGGGATGCATTGTGTGTAACGGTTGCATTGCTTGTGTATGTGTGTCTGTGTGTGTAATGCATTGTGTGTTTTTCTGTGTGCAAGGGGTGCATTGTGTGTATGTGATGAATATCAATCTCTCCTCCCGCTCCAATTTCCTTCTCCTCCTCCCAATTTCTCTTTCTCACCCCCCCTCCTAATTTCAATTTCTCTCCCCCCTCCTAATTTCTCTTTCTCACCCCTCTCCTATTTTCTCTTTCTCACCCACCCTCCTAATTTCTCTTTCTCACCCCCTCCTATTTTCTCTCACTTTACTTTTCTTTCTCACCCCTCCTATTTTCTCTCACCCCCTTTTCTCTTTCTCAAATATCGCTGGTCAAGTTAGCATTACATGACTAAAAAACCACTGGGGCGGCACCACCGATGCCGTATCCCGTTGCAAAGGGAACAAATAGTAGGTATGACAATAAGCAATATGGCCACTGTCTGTAATGGGAAGAAGGAGCCTAGAAAAGCCATAAGAGGACAACTCAAACTCAATAGAACAAAAATAGACAGTAACATTTATAAAATATGGTAGAACTTATTTAAAACCAGAAGAAATTGATAATGTGTTTAAAATTTTTATTTTTTTTAAATATAATTTGGAGGATAATTGAAGATTATGCTAGCTTTAGTGTACTAATAATCTTAATTTTAGTAAAGACAGGAGGCGAGTATTTGCATAACTCTCTTTACTGAAAATCTCCAGCAGCACAGAAACAGTAACAACCAATCAGAAAAAAGTCAGATGGCACATAAAAGGCCCCGACAGTGACATATTTCTTTTTCTCACCCCTCTCTCACCCCCCCCTTACTTTCTCCATCCTTCTCTTATCCCCCCCTACCTCCCTGTAGCGTGGCCGATCCCAGTATAGCCGGCGGGTACAGGGAGCTTTTGTTTCCTGTACCCGGCCGGACTAACAGGAAGTGCACACTCAGTGTGCACTTCCTGTTAGTCCGGCCGGGTACAGGAGACAGCTGCTCTCTGTACCCGTCGGACCATGCTGCAGTGAGGGAGCTGACAGGAGCGCTCCCTCCTGTCAGCCTCTCCCAGCTGCGCCCGGGCGGTGCGGTCCGCCCTCATGGACGCACCGCCCGGGCAAAGCTGCAGCCGCCTGAGGCTCTATACAGAGCGCTCGGGCGGCTGCAGCATGGGGGAGGCGGGGGGCTGGCCATGGCACCCCCCACCCGGCTGGCACCCGGGGCGGACCGCCCCCCCCGCCCCCCCTTAGTACGCCACTGGATACAAGCACTAAAGGGAACTGAATCAGAAACCACGATAGGGCAGGGAGCTAAGGGAAAGGTGAGTATAAATACCCTAGTGTTTAATTTGATTGGCCCCTGTCATATCCACACCCCCAAAATGTGAGTGTATGGGGAATGTGGAATGACATGGGCCAATGGGAGACCGTTTCACATTTCGGCTCCCACTGTCCCTTTGAGAGCATGCCCAAGACGCGCGACACGCTCTTAGAGCCAGGCGGTCAGTGCCCACGTCTCGCGGTCAGTGCCTGCCTTCCTGTAAACTCCGTCAGACGAGCCGCGCGCGAAAGTCAAGCAGCAGCCACCTCGAATTCCTCATGTCCCTCCACAGAAACAAAAGGAGGAGGAGGAGGAGGAGGAGGAGGAGGAGGAGGAGGAACATGTCGGGTATAACGGTTACATAGGAGTGGCTTCAACAAGGAGGTGTGAAAGACATTAGGAATATGCAGGTTCCTAGGAAGATCTAAGGCATATGAAACAGGATTAATTTTATGTAAGATACGAAAAGGACCGATAAAACGGGGATCCAGCTTCATAGAAGGCACACGAAGGCGGATATTGCGAGTGGAAAGCCAAACCCTTTCCCCCACAACATAGGATGGAGCTGCCCTGCGATGTTTGTCAGCTTGAACCTTTTGGCGAGCAGCAGAGTCCACCAAAGAACGCTGAACCTGCTCCCAGGTAGTACGTAAACCAGCCAAAAGCTCATCCAGAACTGGCATGCCCTGTAAGGAGAATGCAGCTGGAAGAACAACAGGATGCTGGTCATAAACAACGTAGAAAGGGCTATTACCGGAAGATTAATGAGCAACGTTATTATGAGCAAACTCAGCCCAATTGTTCTGATGGTGGGATATGAAACAATGAAGATACTGGTCTAGGGATTGGTTGGCACGTTCAGCAGCTCCATTAGACTGGGGGTGGTAAGCGGAGG